CGACGACCACCGAACAACGACACCGACCAAAACGACACCACCAACAACCGACCACCACCAACAAAGACGACCCACCCACCACCACCAAACGACCACCAACAACGACCACCACCAACAACGACGACCACCAAACAACAACGACCCACCAACAACGACCACCACCAACAACGACCACCACCAACAAACGACGGACCACCAACAACCGACCGACCACCCAACAACGACCACCACCAACAACACGACCACCAACAACGACACCACCAACAACAACGACGCACCAACAACGACCACCACCAACAACAACGACACACACAACGACCAACCGAAACAAACAACGACCACCCCAACCACCAACAACGACGACCACCAACAAGACGACGACGACCACCAACAACGAACCACCACCAACAACGACGACCACCAACAACGACCACCACCAACACAACGACACCAACAACGACCAACAACAAACGACCAACCAACAACGACGACCACACCAACCAACAACGACCCACAACAACGACGAACCACCAACAACGACACGACCACCAACAACGACGACCACCAACAACGACACCACCAACCAACGACCACCACCAAACCAACCGACAACCACCAACAACGACCACCACCAACAACAACGACCACCAACCAACGACCACCACCAACAACGACCACCACCACCAAACCCAACGACCACCAACAACAACGACACCAAACATACCACCAACGACACACCAACAACGACCACCACCAACAAACGACGACCACCAAACAACGACGACCACCAACACGACGACCACCAACAACGACGACCACCCAACAACACGACCACCACCAACAACACACCACCAACAACGACGACCACCAACGAACCACACCAACCAACACACCCAACAAACAAAGCCACCACCAAAACCGACACACCACACCGGGACCACCACCCACCAACGACCACCACAAACAACGACCACACCACCACCACCAACAACGTACCACCACCACCAACGACCACCAACAACAACCACCACCAACACCCCCCCACCAAACACGACCACCGACGACCACCCACAACCACACCAACCACCCCACCAACGACACCACCACCACCACCAACGACCCCAAACTCTGCAACACAGACCATGCAACATCCGAGGCACAGACACAGACACACTCTCCGCAACAACAGCGATGCCAATCACAGAGAACCAGCCTCTCAGAGTGTGTCACGTGACTTGTTTATCGACCGATCTATTTTTAATATCAATAACATAGCCCTGTTTGAGGCCGGAGTAACAAGCGCAGCAAGGCCCAACGCACACACACCAACTGGCACGCATTACACATTTACGTACACACCACGTACACACACATACATACCACACACACATTTACGTACACACACATACATACACATTTACGTACACACACATACATACACACGTTATACAAAACATAAGGTTAACGTACACACACATACATACACATTTACGTACACACACATACATACACATTTACGCACACACACATACATACACATTACATAACACATTTACGTACACACATCATACGTACACACACATACATACACACAAAAAGGGAAATAATCGTATATACACGCACACGCTCGCGCATATATATACATTCACCATAGACACATACTACATACATACATACACAAAAAGAAACATCATATACACACGCACATATTATCTTACACACGCATACATAGATGCACATAAACACACACACATATACATATGCATACAAAATATCGTAAACACATGCCCGCATACACACCCATGCAAAAAAAAAAAAAAAAAAAAAAAAACATTCACATACTCAGGCATACATACACCTTACATACATACACACACATACATAAAACAAAAAGAACACAATATATGTGAAAATTAATATGTGTATATACATATACACAACACACGTATACATAAATCCACAGCACACACACATACACACAACCACATACACAACATATACACACACAAATACACAAAATACACACATACACAAAAAAAAACACACAGACACGCACACACACACAAGGTCATTTATATATCACGTTACTTATCCAGTCACTGTCCTAACGAAATCAAGGTCACACAGAAGTCACACACAAGGCCGCTGATAATCAAATTTGCGCTACGAAAAGAAATAAAGAAAAAGAAAAAAGAAATGAAGAAAAAGAAAAAAGAAAAGAAAGAAAGAAAAATATTTGGTATCAGACGAAAAGAAATGAGAAAAGAAATAAAGAAAAATATTAGGTATCAGACGAAAAAATGAAGAAAAATATTAGGTATCAGACGAAAAAGAAATGAAGAAAAAGAAAAAAGAAAAATATTAGGTATCAGACGAAAAGAATAAAGAAAAGAAAAAGAAAAGAAAAAAGAAAATATTAGGTTCAGACGAAAAGAAATGAAGAAAGAAAAAAAGAAAGAAAGAAAGAAAAAATATTAGGTATCAGACGAAAAGAAATGAAGAAAAAAGAAAAAGAAAGAAAGAAAAATATTAGGTATCAGACGAAAGAAATGAAGAAAAAGAAAAAAGAAAAGAAAGAAAGAAAAATATTAGGTATCAGACGAAAAGAAATGAAGAAAAAGAAAAAAGAAAAGAAAGAAAGAAAAATATTAGGTATCAGACGAAAAGAAATGAAGAAAAAGAAAAAGAAAAGAGAAGAAAGAAAAATATTAGGTATCAGACGAAAAGAAATGAAGAAAGAAAAAAAGAAGAAAAGAAAATATTAGGTATCAGACGAAAGAAATGAAAAAAGAAAAAAGAAAAAAAGAAAGAAAAATATTAGGTATCAGATCTATTTACTGACAGACATACTGTTCGAGGAAAGAAAATATTTGCATAATCTGACTAAATTTGTGCTTATATATACATGGCTTTTATAACACAAAAAAATCGTATTGAACTTTGCTGACTTTGATTTCACATATTCTCGTTTTTTCTCAAAAGCGTCTTGGCAACTTAGCCAGGGTGAGTTGCCATATATACATACACATATACAAACATGTATATATGTGTGTTATATTCATGTGTGTGTTGTGTGTGTGCTGTATATATATATATATATATATATATATAATATATATATATATTATATATTATATATATATATATATATATATTATATATT